CAATCTTAGCTCAGTATATCATACATTAATTAAATGAAATAAACATAGAATATTAACTAACACCCGGTATATTGAAGAATTTTGCAAACCAAAAAAACATCTTCAGAATGCAAAGAAAAATAGCTGAAAGTAAAAGAAATCAATATAAACAGTATTTTATTCGCTTTGTGTCCAAAATGGACAAAATTAATACTCCAAATGTATCCCAAGGCTTAAAGCAGCAACAACGCTACACATGTAAGTAAAAATATTTAAGTATCTGAACAAAGAATTCTAGTCTCTTCCCAAATTTGATTGTCCTGACTAATCACCTGTTAGGCCTAATTAATTTTAAAAAGTTTTAAAGTATTGCAATTGTGATGTATTTTAATGTGTGATATGATGAGGCTGTGGACGAACTGTGGTTGTTTTTTCAATTAACGAAATTTTTTTTTAACTTGCTGTCATTTCAGAAAAACTGATGGTGGTGGAAAAATACACCGAAACGTATTTTAATTGATAAATAGAGACAATAAATGACTGAAACCTAGGAATGAACTTTGATTTGGAATTGAAACACAGTCAGGAAAGTATATACTATTTAGAGTGAAGAAAGGCTGCGAATTAAAAACGAAAGATCTTGGAAAACTGGGTGATTAAAAACAGTTTGAAGCAAATTTCACTCACCAATGGCAAAGCCCAAACAAAAGGCAACATCTCCAATTGCGTACACGCTTCCATATACAGCGGAGTGTCGAATGTCCACAAGATATCCAAGCTCTGGCATCATGGAAGAATCGACCATTCCAATGGCGAAACCCAATCCAGCATTGGGGACAATGAGATGGTTGATATTAGTGGCTAAGGGAATCTGGAAATGTTCCGCCATATTAAAGTTCATCAAAAAGATGCGGAAATATTCAATTGTGAAAGTTGAATGTTTTGTTGCAATGATGCAAAACATGACTCGACTTTCTTCGAAACCGAAAAGGACCACGTGGTTCAGCCAAGCTCAAAACGCACCAGATTTCCAATCAATCAATGAACGATGTTTAAAACAAATTAACGAATTCATCATGGTCAGTGCCATAATTTCGAGCAAGATTACGAACCTTCTAGGTGAACCAGGATCAATGTGCCGTAATCGAGAAAAAAACCTCACCAAACTGCTGTTACGTACTTTCGGCCTTTTTTTCCATTTTCAGGAACACTGCCACGGACTTATGTATAACTTTGCGCAATCGAACGGAAGAAACAATGCATAATATGTCCGAAACAACGCTTTGCGCAAAGCCAATCGATTGCTATTGTGTTTCTTCAATGCGATTTTAGCCCAAGCCGTTTCTTTTCTTTCATGTCTTTTCTTCATAAATAGTTCGGATAAATTAGTGCACATACTTTCACCCAGTGTTGAAACAAATTGCCTTTGATATTATGACACGAATTAAGTAAAGTATGCCGGGGAATGGTAGATATTTGAATATTAACGGCGGGTAATTTGATTTCTCATATCTGATCAACGGCCGTCCAATTAGATAATGTTGCTAGTTTCAACAATTATACCTTACAAGCAACTGAAACGCACGACTTTTTCTACTTATGAGAGCCGTTTGTGCTTGATATTATCGATAAATTCGTTCAGACGTTTGCAGCCTCCAATTAGTGTATATTTTTACTGATTTTCGTTTGATAGTCAACGGTTGTTGGCTTGCAGGTTTACCAGTAGTTAAAATATCAAATATCTTTTGATATTTTTGGAAAAGTGAGTACCAAGTTTTGATGCTCGTTGGCCCTTTCTATCCTTGCCGTGCTCAGACATTGTTAATTGGAGATTTGTGAAACAACGTTTTTTACATTTTCACCCAAATCATTCATCTGACTCGCTTTAAAAATGTCCGCTTTTTACCTTTTTTCGCCGGACGGTCATCAAGAGCAAGAAAAAAGTGTCAATTTTAAGCTACTCCAAATCCTTTGCATCTATATAAATCGCCTCTAAGATCCCCAGCTTCTTACATTAAGTTCTTCCAGTTAAGTTTTAAGTTAATAATTTAAATATCTGGCAGATATCCGGATTATCTCCGACTTGAATGGATTTTTTCGCAATTTTAGACTAAAATGTCTTCTATTTAATGTAGAAGTTTAAACTTGCTGCTTGCTGAATATGAGAAGTTATGATTTTTCTACACCGCAAGTGCAATTGTGTCAAAACACTATTTTTTGAGTCAACATTTACCAAGTTGGCAAAAATCAGTATTAAATGTAATTCGAATGAAATGTTCGTTAGGCTCATATGTCTTCTATCGACTGGAGAAACTGACATTTTCCTATTGAGTTTTTTCGAAATTTTCACGCGTTAACGCAACAGAAGCAAAAATGTGAAAAATTTCCAAAACTT